CTCATGCTTAGGATGTGTTTATTGTTAGAAGAACTGTCACTACGTCTCAGTTGTAGCTTACGTATCATACTCAATAAGAGGTTAGTGATAGGATATGTTCTAAGCAGAGTTATGCACAAAATTTCGACAGAAAAATGGAATTAGCGAAGAGGCTACGCAGGATTTTCATATGAAAATTATGTCAAATAGTATATCGAGTAATACAAACTATTTCTTACTGAAAATTGATATATATTACCAAATTCTCAGATCTTATTCAATATTCACGCAATAGATTACTTGCTTTTTACGTGAATCTACCGGAACTAGTATAAGGCTCTGTCGGGTGAAACACTATTGCAGAAGATATCTTTAAGATGGCCTCAGATTTTGTTCATTTTGCTCTATATTAAAGAAGGCGGCGAACCGTTTCACGACTTGGTTATTTGAAACGGACATAATCCTAATGGCTATTTGACCGGCTATTTCATGTCTGCGAGTTTATGCTATTGGCTATTGTATAAATTACGCGTTTTCATTAGTTTAAGCCCTTAGTTTATCGACTTCACTCTTTCTATATATAGGGGGGGCAAATCGAGGGCTAATCATCTCTCGCTGCCGACGCCTCCAAACGTCTCCCAGAAGTCATCTCCCGCCAGGACCAGGAGAGTCAATCAGCCCCACCAAAGGACCAATTTTCCCGATTGTTGTAGGCAGGACTAATAAATAAGTCCTTTAATTAGTACTAAAGTTCAAGAGTCAGATTCATTGTTTAGAACGTTTTGTTCTTCCTTAAGTTAGATTCGGTGGTTTTAGTCTCGTAATCGCGTTCGTTGTTCTGTTTCGGGTTATATTCGTAAGAAATCGCCCGTTGATCGTCTCGGTTCGCTACATTTTGGTGGCATACGGTGAGATGAACGCCGACGATCTACTCGCTCGTCTAGTAACGGCAATGGAGAATGTGACTTCTCCTGCGTCAAGGACCACGCGGCCAAATTGGTTCGCCCCCTCAGACGACTACGATCTATGAGAGCCGAATGAAGACCTTCATTGAGACAATTGATGTAGGAAGCCGATCCGCGGCCGTCCTCGAGTGCGTGGACGACAAGGTACTGATCGTAGCGACCACGCTAACAACGGCCACTATCTTTGAGCGTCTTAGACGAGAGTATGGGGTACCATCGACGCCATGGAACACTCGGAAAGCCCTTAGAGATAGAAAACAACTGACAGGAGAGTCAGTTGGCGAATACCAACGCCAGCTCCGCGTGTTGGTCCACGAAGTTTTCCCAGACTCCAGCTTCGCTGATCTGGAAACAAAGATTTTAGACATCTTTTTAGAAAGTGTAGCTAGTGATGAGGTTAGGCGTGAGTTTGCTCGTTCCACACCAGCCACCATTAAGAAGGCCCTAGAGTATGCCCAGCAAGAGGAAGCGGCCTTCATTGCCGTGCCCCAACGTGCCCCAACCGATGACTCGCGACAAATTCGGTCCCAGGCCTCCACCGTCAGTTGGTGTCTACGCCACGAAGCAGTGCCAAACCCGCGAAATTGGCAGCCAGACTGCTCAATGGCAAATGGACCCTCCTATGGCTTCCCTCAACCGTGGCAGGGTTTTTCACAACATTGGCATGGTCCGCCACTGAATGCTGCTGCCTGGACTGGTCCTCTACAACCGACCTCGCCTTTGCGAGGCCCTCCACCGCCCACTCAACGAGGTAATTGGAGACAACAGCGGGCCAGACAGACCACCCCCATATTTTTTTGGAATTTATTTTTTGGAATTTATATTTTTCAGCGCCGGTACGGCACTACCTGTACAAAGTAGATTTCGAAAAAGTAAAAAATTCAAAAAAGAATTGGACAATATGTGCAGATAGAGGTAGAAAGTCGTAATACTGTCAGCAGAAATTGTCCTTTCGGGGCTGCATTTAGCAATGTTTTGCAGGTAATTGTGAACTTAAAAACTTAAACTTATGGCAGTTAAAAAAACTCTTACAGTGAAAATGGAGGCAGAGTTCGTCCATGTTCAAAAAGGGTGTAAGAGAAAAAAATGCTTAGGAAGATAGTAGTAATGCTCCAAAAAGTCTGTAAGAGAAAAAACTGCTTCGTTAGGTAACACATAGTAGTAGAGCAGAAATAGGTGTGGGAAGTCTGATGATGGTTAGTAGTCAACGAAACCGCAGCATTTTAGACTGAGTTCTTCCACGTGGCTTCGTTTGATTGAGCGGTGGTTAATGGAAACCTCTAGGTTCAGAATATTTTCAAATGGATCTCCTTAATTCCCGATGGTCCTTTCTCGGAGTCATAGTCCCGGTGTCCATGTGATCAGCACACATGAGGACGAGCCAATCGGTAAAAGCGTATTGCTAACTGATATGTTTATTACGAACATAGGTTCCACTATATCTTTCCCAGTTATTGACACTATTATAGGAAATACTAGGTTACAAGGAAGACAAGGACGCGATCTCTGGAACGATAGTTTTATTCTGAGCTTTCGGCTCCACACGAGAGTGAGAAAAGTAAACGTCAGCTACGCATAAATGGGGTTGGTAGGGGAGGGGATGGTGGTGGCAATTATTGATTGGCCTTTGTCCACGCCAAGGCCATTCTCACGATATCTTATCGCGTCTCCAAAGCGTGTCCCTGGAGTTACGGCATGTGACCTTGAGGTGGTGACATGCGTGTTTGTAGAGGAACAGGGCCCTGGTTTCTGGTTTACGGGCACGGATGGCAAAATAACAGGGTGGTATATCCACATGCCTGTTTATG